CCCAGAGAAAGCTACGTTGAAGGCCCCAAACGAAATATTATTCTATCGATCCAACATTGATTTTTGACATTATTACAATTCCTTCTTAGTGATATATATTTATATGTTGATGCATATGCTTATATTAATATTATCCTCTACTGAACTCTTCCTATCGGCAATACAGTTAAACTCAACTCTCTATTCTCTAAGATACTGAACCAATCCTTATTATACAATATTGCATATTTATACTCTTATATTATTGTTTATTATATTGTTCTCTCCCCTTCACTCCAACCACAAAATATTATCCACTGAAGCTTCTGCTATAGGTTGTTGGTTGGTACATGGGAGTTGGAAGATGTACTACAAACATTATTCATATCAAATTACCCGAGCTCTTAGCAAAACTGTTTATGTCCTTTTTAACTGGTTCAAGTTGAAACCTAATTTCAAAATTAGACTCTGACTCACTATATTTTCTCCGGCATAATATTTATACACTATTAATATAACGATTTATACATAATCAGTAATCATTTATCATTAATTTATATTACTTTTTTAAAATTCATACTGTCATTATATACACATTTTACGACATGATTTACGACATGAATGTAGTAACTTGGTATCATGCTGTCTCTTTAAATTCTCAAATAGCCATGATTTACGACATTCATTATAATATCTGCCTTGTTACATACGCCAGACTGCTGAGTTAAAGGGAATCCAGAATCTTAATTTGAATATTTGATCTTATATTATATCGAAATTTGAGTTAATCAGGGGAACATAATTTCTGTTATTTATTTGAATACTCAACATGTCATATTGAAATTGTACATTTCATTTATATATTTATATATGATATACAACATTATAAATTATTAATACCCAACCACACTCATAGAACATAAATATTATATATACTTATCAATAAAAATATCATGTTCCAAAAAAATCTTACCCCTCTATTTATAGTCTATCGAACTTCATAAAATAATATAAAAATGTCAGTTTCTATTTTTATGACCTTTTTTTTATAATCAATTGACAATTTTTAATTAAACGAGAATAATGAGGCAAATATAGATATGTGATCTTCATTCTACAGTTGGAATATTTAAAATGTGTAGAAGTGTTGAAGGGCAAATTGAAAGGGGTTGTTGGCAATAGCTAAGAAGGAGAAAGGAACAGTGGAAATGTGTGATGTAGATGGACATATAGTTATATATTGAGTGGGGGAAAAAGGACAAAAGAAGACAAACTCTGAAAGGGTAATAAGATTGAACAGTGGAAATAAAATGAACTGTTATAGACTCATGATGAAATATACATGCAAAAACACATAAGAGTAATGAGATAGGGGTTGAGTTGAAAGAGATAATGGTTGATGGGAAAGAGCTTCATCCAAATGCACGATACTTGTTGGTAGGTTAGGTAGCAAACCCTGCCCCTCCTCATTGGACCCATACCCTTATATTAGATTCCTTCCCCTTCACTCTTTTCCCTCATCTCTCTCTCCTTCCATTTCCAACCAAAATCATCTACAATTTGCTATATATTAGGTGGTGCCAGTGTTCTTTTTTTTTTAAAGTGAGTTATTAAATTATTTGATTTGATATAAAGTACAATTTTTTTCTATCTTGTGTTTTTATGCATTAAGTAATGATATTTCTTTAATATGTGCACAATGAATAAGTTATGATATTTCTTATAATGAATAAATCTCTTTCCTATTTAGAGAGGAGAGTATGGAGAGAGATAAAAATGCATTGGGAAACATGCATTTTGTTTTTGTCTAGAGAAGATGGAATAAAAATATCTTATCTAATTACAATGAAGCAAAAACAAAATAATAATAATTACTATTTAAATTTTTTATTTGACGTGACATGTTTTCATTGATGTGAGATAATATTTGTGATATTGTTTCAGATAAAAAATATATATTCAAGAGGTTTGAGAGAGATATTTCTCTTCTCTTTTTATCTAAAACCAAACAACATAAAAATTTACTCTATTTCTCATCTATTTATCTCTTTTATTTATTTCTTTTTTATTTTCTCTTATACAACCAAATAAACCATAGTCTTTGGTGAACTTAAACTATATCTAAGAATTCAATAACACCTTACACTTTTAAAACAACTTTTTCTATTTTGTGTATTGAGTTATTAATATAGAAAAATACAATTTATAAGAAAAATTAAGATATCACATTTCAAAATAATAAATATATCACAATCTAATCAAAAGTTATACTAGAGTTCAATATATTGTTAGTATAGTTTATACCACTCTCTAATCAAAACTTATTGTACTATAGAAGGGTATAGACTATAGTAACAATAATGCTCTAAACTTTTTTACACTCTTCTTTTACGCGGGTAGATTTTATTTATGATTATTAACATTCATAATGATGATTTGAAAATGAAAAATTCTTTACACTTTACAATATCATTACACACTGCTTTTCTCTTCTTCTTTTTTTAAATTCATAAACCAATGTCATGGACACAACAGAAAAATGGTTTGAATTAATTGAATATGGTTAGAACTTGGATGAGAATTCCTTGCAGTTCTTGAAAGCAACCGTAAGGTGTGCAGCTCATGATCTTATCATTAATATTACTGAATTGCAATTTTTGATAATAAATTTATCATATAACAAAACATACTCAAACCAAAATATAATAGTAAGACACTTAAAATACAGTAACTAATAATATGTGCTTCTATTTATCATACTTTATATTATGTAACCTTTGATATAGGTGCCAAAACATGGGTACTTAATTGTGACCTTTCAAAAAACACAATCCTTTTTGGACATAAAGTTGTAACCAACTCATATCCCTTTTTTCTTAAGTAACCCATTCCTTCACAAAATAAACATAGCATAGAATTATCACTTCTCCATGTTGGTTTAACTTTTTCCTAAGAAAAGCTCTCTACACTATACCCATCTTTCCCTCTAAATAAAAACCACTAACCCCATCAAATGTATTTTTTATTTATGCTTTTATTAAGAAATCATTACGACCATTTCTTCTAAAGTCACCCACTTCAAATTAAACAATCATAATAACAGAATCTCTATTTTCTCTTTGCCTTTAACAAAGGAATCATGAAAGACATGAAATTAAAGAGTCTAGCTTCAACGCCCAAATTACCAATTTCATCATTATATTTAAAGACAACGTGTCTTTGTAAAGGAAAACCCTTCTACTTGTCTCCAAAGTGTGCAACTAGTTTATCATTAGGAAAATAATTACAAGTTGTATGCATACACATGCAAGCACTCTCTCTATTGGAATATTATTTGACAAGTTGAGGCAAAGAAGCAATCTTTCCTTTTCTTCTTTCTAAATACAATTCCTTTTTTTCTTTATTCTTTTAATTTCCAAAAAATTAAATATAGCATCTAATCATCACCATTTTTACTTTAATGCTTATCTAATTGGTTTTCTTTTTATGTACATAAAATATAGTGGAGTTTCTTTATTATTATTATTTAAACTATTCGGTTATAGCAACAAAATATAAGAAAAATAAAAGGAAAACCCAGTAATATATATAGAAGTTGATGTGTAGAACTATAGATTCAATTTCATACACCTCTCTCCCCTCTTCTTCCCAAATTCTTTTTCCATTCCAAATATTCACATAAGGATAACAAAAGCTATCTCTTAAACTTATAAGGTATATAAGCCATATACTATGAAGAAGTTGTCCATTTTTTCCAATTGAAGAACTAATTTATTCCAAAGTATTTATCAAAGGATATTATATTGTGCAGTAATGAGTAAACCTTAGTCTTTGTCATTCAACATGATGATCATAATATCATTCATCTTATGATCTTCAAGATTTGTGGAAGGCATAGCTACACCACCAATGAATATGGCTTTCTTCCAAGCAAATTTCATGCTACAAACCCCTCATCACCATGATGAACACCAACCTCCACCTTCACTCAACACAATTTTACCAACATGTACACCTCAAGATTATCATGGTACTACTACTCTCTCACTCTATAACAGCATGACATAGACATAAACATAAACATAAGCACACACTCAAATATATATATAGATTTCTTTGTCTAATAAACTGGTTTGAAATATTGTTTTTAGGGGGGCCATCTTTTCTAGGCAAGAGATCCATGTCATTTTCAGGGATTGAACTTGGAGAAGAAGTTAATGCTGAGGAAGATTTCTCTGATGATGGATCACAAGCAAGTGAGAAGAAGAGAAGGCTTAACATAGAACAAGTGAAGACACTTGAGAAGAGTTTTGAGCTTGGAAACAAGCTTGAACCTGAGAGAAAAATGCACCTTGCAAGGGCTCTTGGGTTGCAACCTAGACAGATTGCTATTTGGTTCCAGAATAGGAGGGCTAGGTGGAAGACAAAGCAGTTGGAGAAAGACTATGATCTTCTTAAGAGACAGTATGATGCTATGAAATCAGATAATGATGCACTTCAAGCTCAGAACCAAAAACTTCAAACTGAGGTTTGTAGTTTTCTCTTTCAACTCATAAAATAATTATATGGCTCTCTAGTCTTCTATTTACTTTGACTTGTTTTTGCTTATTAAACCAATCATGTAGAAAAAAAATGATGAATATATGGAGATGTATGTTCTAGTTCTGCTATATGATTGTTTTGATTCTGTGTACTATAGTATAAAGCTTGATAATTATGATCCTTTCATCTTCTTTTTTTCTTCCAAGTATTTATGCTTTTTTTGACTTTTGATTAGTTTTCAGAACCATTCCTTTCACTCACTTTAACTTTCTAAAAATCATTTTATTTAATATCATCTACAGTTACTTCTTCATCAAGACCCAATGATTCATTTCCACTTTAATCACATCATGCTGTTACAAAATACTTTCAATCTTACCAAACTTTGTTTTTATGGTCCTTTTTCTGCATGTTATTTTGGATTAGCTGATTTATTCTGTTGTGACTACTGCACCAGATATTGGCACTGAAAAGTAGAGAACCAACTGAATCAATAAACCTGAATAAGGAAACAGAAGGATCATGCAGCAATAGAAGTGAAAATAGCTCAGAAATCAAGTTAGATATCTCAAGAACAAAAGCTATTGATAGTCCTATCTCACCACATCTTACTAGCATACCCTTCTTTCCATCATCCTCAACTACTACTAGGCCAACTACTACAGTGACTCAGCTATTTCAAATTGCTTCAAGACCTGAACTTCAATGCCAAAAGATTGACCAAATTACCAAAGAAGAAAGCTTAAGCAACATGTTTTGTGGCATGGATGACCAATCTGGGTTCTGGCCTTGGTTGGAGCAGCAACAATTCAATTGAATATATTCAGAGAGTTCATTGTTTAAATATTATTGGAATGTGGTTTTTTTCTGTGTAATCAAGAGTGTGTTAATTAGTTAGCATACTCTCAGTTCTTAAATATTAATTATTCCATGTTTTGGAAACTTGATGTATAAAATAGGATATATCAAGTAGAAATTTTCTAGTGGGGCTTGGATATTTTTATATCAAAGAATAAAAAGTTAGTCACTTTTTCCTTTAAGGTAATCACTTGTAATTAGTTTTCTTGAAATTTTGAGTGAAGTACTGTGATTGAATTAATGGGTTGTGAGAAAATTTTAAAGATAGGATTCAATCACTTTGAAATTTGATTTTACTGAATCTAAGCCATTCTGGTGAAGATCAAAGAATAACCATAAAAATTAATTTAAAACATGATTTAGAATCTAAGTAGACGACAATCTTAATTCAGTGATTCAATTATAGCACAGACCATTAAATCAACAGGAAAAAAATTGTACGTACTAATGGTTTAAAAGTTTTATATATTGTCAGTTTATCATTTATCATTCATTTTTAATTATTATTGATATTCAAAAAAATTAATAATGGTGTATGATATTCTAAATATGAATAACACTCTTAAATAAAAGAGTAGGGTAGTGTCCTTTCATCCTTATAGCCAATCAATCATTTTTTCTTGCTTTGGAATCACACCTTTGTATTGTTTAGCAAAAAAATTGTTTGCTGGTGCTTTGAAGAAAGACCCTGCATTGATTTATGCTGATTTCATCAATTAATATAGAAGGGGAACAAAATCCACTCCTACTTAACAAAGTAAAATAAATTAGATATACAAAGTTTTACCCTCGTAAATTAAATTGGTCTATTATAAAGATATCGGGAAAAAATAGAATCAAACACACATTCCAAGAAGGGAAGAAGACAAGAAGATGAAATTGCGGAAGAAAACAAAAGAGTTAGAAATGGTCATTCTCATGAATAGGACGTTGTCCATTTTGTTGTTCATGACAAAGTTGAAAAAGGATGTATCATGAAATTTTAGGTACATATAATCTTCAGAACTTTGATTTGAATAAAAAAGAAACTCTCCATTTTGCTTTCTATTATAAAGACGTTAAAAAATATACTAATTTTATAAGTCATGTCCAAACTATAATATCTAATTTTAGAAAATATCATTATAATGTTAACCGTTAACCAAAGTAGTTGGAACAAATAGTAAAAATTTAAATTTAATTTCCTGGGTATCAAATAGTTATGAGTTTTGATCGTACCCACCTTTTTGACACTGAAAAGTTGATTACATATACACTAGTGCACCCTTTTATAGTGTTTGACGGGGAACTTCATGTGAAATCACTGACCCATTCTGTAGCTAGAGTCCAACTATGCTCTCGTTTTCACCCCACTTGCATAATGAGTTTTTTTATTTATTTATAGAACACAAGAAGATTATGATATTTGTATACATTGGAATATGTGAAAGATAGATTTATAAAATATTAACCTTGCTAATAAAAAATTGTTTTTAGGATTTAAACTCCCACTAATTATAATAATAAAATTAAACATAATAAGTACATGTATGGTTAGAATGATTTACATAAATATCTACCCAAAAAGTTATGTACTAAACTAGTAAAATTGTTCAATTTTAATGTGATGGTCTCATGTTCATATAGTGTAAAGACATATTTTTATACATCTTTTACTTCTACTAATAAAATAGTTTTCTTATTAATTTCTCAAAATTTTCCCTCATATAAGTACCCTCCTTTGCATTTGTAATACTATTGCAGTTGTTCTTTTTTCTAGAAATCAAACCCTAATTTTGTTTAATATTTTATTTAGGATCTAATTTAATTTTATCTAATCATTAGACTAGCACTCTCGTTTCTATTAACTCTTGAATTTTCATCACTCTTATCCCTTTTGTATTTTAGCTATTGTGCATGAGAAATGGCATATTTTCGTACAAAATCCTATTACAAAACTAATTAACAATATGTTGGTTTAGTGGTTTAAGGCATTACTAGATCCCCAAATAGTCTAAAAATTCAAAGGTTTGATTCCTAAGAACAACACTTGTTAGGGGATGGGGATCACATGTCCCCATTCATATCTCATTTGCTGTACCAAGCCAATCAGAAAATTTCATTCAATTAAAAAATATAAATAACAAAACCATAAATTAATATTTTAATATTATTTTATGAAGTTTGATTGGTTAGGGACATGAGAGCAGGAAAATCTTGGGACATAGGATCTTTGTCCCTTGTTAGGAGGGGTAATAACATACCCCAAAATAATTAATTCATTACTCATAGGGTGATAAATACTCTTTTGTTATACCCAGAAAAATCCATCTTACAAATCATCATACACTACAATAAAATAATATATGTAATTGGTAAACCAACATTAATAAATAAAACAATATTTTGTGACATGGGTTACTTTTATTATAATTTAGGAAAATTCTTAAGAGAATCTATTTTTTTTTTCATTCTAAATATTTCAAATTGATGAGAGTGGTCACAAAATTGGAGTGAAACATACAAAATTATAATTTGTCACAATCTATTATAGATTTCTTTACCAAGACATATACGTCATAAAAGACTGTTCAATGGCATGCAAAATAATAGTAGAAACTTTAGCTCAGGTGAATCTGTATGCAGAACAAATAAAGTTCACTGATTCTAATGTTCATTTACACCTTAGTGTACCTCAGTTTCACTTTTCTTTCCTTTTTTTATTGTCTGTCGTTTTCAGAGTTTTGCTTGGGAATTATGGAGACCATGATATCATCATAGGTAACAAAATATTGTATTGCGAGCAAAAATCTAAGTAGATTATTATATTTGTATGATTGCTTCCATTCACCAGATGGGTAATGTTTCATTCACAAATATTGAGGGACACGTTCTCTTAGCACAGTAACCACTCAGTTTTGGGCTGTCTGAGGTAAAATAGGATCCCCTCCATTAATAAAGGCATATTTTTTTTTTTTAATAATAAAAATATAATTTCATTGTAATTAAAATGATATATATGTTGTTAAAAATTGAATTTCTCTTTAATTTTTGAAACATTTGTTTTTTCATTAATAGAGATAAATTTAACATGTATGAGGTATAGTAAGCTACTACACATGGTATCATATTCACGAAATGAATTTATTCCATATTTTTCTGATTTAACTTTTTCATGTTATTTCTTCAATAAATTTTGATATTTAATAAGTCCAATACATATTTATATATTGCTTTTCAATTATACACTTATTTATTTGTCACTCCTCTTTTTCGTCTTCTATTTCTTCATTTTTCTTTAATGTCGACTAAATGAAGGAAATAATAGTTTGTGTAAGGTTATAAGTTCAAACAACCTTTGTTTCCACGATTGTACCAAACAAAACAAAAAAGAAACATTATCATATTAGAGGCTATGACAGAGAATTTAAATTTGTCATTGTGATCTATGACTCTATGCATCTATATCTTTTCCTTGGAACCTCTATCGACCTAGCTCATTGTAAAATTGATAACCTCTATTCACCTACACCCTCGGTATTATTACTATTATTATAGGGTGAATGAGGTGTTTCTTGGATAGCTTGCTATATTTCACGATGCAACCATCCTTCTCTTTCTTTGTCATCTCTATTGATTAATTTTGGGACTTGAGAGTGTGTAGAGGGTTCTCTCAAATGAGAGGTCTCTAGCTGGATTCCTTATGAAAAGTATCCCCTTAAAGGTTTTCCTAGCACCCAACAAAATAACGATTCTAAGGAGACTATAAAATATTAAATGAGAAGGTAATTTTATTCATATTCTTTAATCTGGATTAGCATATCGTAAATAGTATGAGTAGGAGACTCTGGACATCTAAACTTAAGTCTAATTTATTTAAAACAAGATAAACAAGATTTATTTCTTCTAAACATAATGTAACATAATCTTTAAACTTGATTGGTGGGTGAGTTATTCTCTTGGATCTGGATGTGGTATCATCAATAATGCTATTGAGCTCAGACGGCCCAACATTGTCCATCCCTTGGAGAGCAACTTGTCCTCTAGGTTGGGCTTCTCAATATTTTCTTTACTTGTGTGTATGCTTTCAATACTGAGATTTGAGTTTGCTATAGTTGGCCCCAATCATTATCCTACACAATTAGGATATTCAATAATATGACAAGCATCCTTAGAGTCGTCAATTTGAAAATGTAAAAAGTTGTTTTGATTTACAACAATGTCCTATAATATATATTTTCATCACAATTATAACATAAACTCTGAGTTCTTCTTGGTTCATATAAATTACACTCTTTGAAGGTTAGAACTTCACTGTCTTGTTCAACAATACCATCATTTGTAATGCTAGAAATTTGTATGGATTTCTCCCCCAAATTTTAATTTAATTTAATGAGTAATCCTTTTATCTCAATAAATAGATCTGCAATTGAAGAATGGTCAAAATAGGGTGTTGAGATATGAGATAGTGGTGGTTGATATGGTGTTGGCTAAGAAATTTCCCATGTATAATCCTTTTGACATTGTTATAATAATACTTTTTATCATCATTAGTAAGATACTCCCTCCATGGTTGAGAGTGTTGTTCATAGATCTGAAAGGGTGAAGGATATAATTGTGGTTGATTGATGAAAATGAGAATATATGAAATAACATGGTTGATTGAAGTTGTGGTTTTGGTGGTGGATGTGGTGTTGGTCACTTTGAAAATGGAGGAAAATGAGAATTAGGTTGTGAGTTATGTTGAGAATGATAGTAATGATAATATGGGTCATATGGTGGATAAAAGGAGGGTGGTAGTGATTGATTGTAAGTATAATGTATAAAATACATGGTTATTTTAGTTGAATAAGTTAAAAAATGAAAGAACCAATGTTAGGGTTTAACCCTAGCAACCAAGAAAATAATGATTCTAAGGAGACTATAAAATATTAAACGCGAAGACAATTATATTATATTATTGTCTTTTAATCAGAATTAACATATACTTTAAATAATGTTGAATAAGAGGCTATGAACCTCTAAATCGATCAATTTATTTAAAATAAGATAAATAAGATTATATTTCTTCAAAACATAATCTAACCATAATCTTACCTTTGGGCTCTGAAGTTCCCATCCACATTTTTTATTACCAAAAAAAACGGCACACTCAATTTTAAATTGATGTTTTGGTATTTTTTTGTTTTAT